AGAAACAATATCGATGCATGTATATAGTAAGTATAAAACGTATAACCACTGTTTTTCCAATGCACACTTGTGTGATATTAAACGAATAAAGACAAAAATAAGAAAACCATTTTAATAAGATCGTCTAATGGAGTTTATATAAACATTCTTTTCTCAAAAATCTGATTCAAGTTATTGAACATAAATGGTATCTGATTCCTTGACTGTCGTAGAGCGAGGCATGTTTTTCGGCGAAACATTTCAACCTTTTTATGAAAGTAAACTAATCGGCATAGTTCACTTCTGAGATAAACAGGAAATAAAAAAATTAAATTATAGTCATTTCACTGCTTTTGTGTTACTTTTATATAGAATGTGTACAATGTGTTAAATATATTTTCTAAACCTAGAATCTTAAGCTATAAGTGCGTTCTTTTTTTAATTTCATTGAAGCTATCACACCTATTTAATAGATCATTCCAAAGAAAAGGCGCGAAGATTTAACGTGGCGTTTGGCGCGAAATTATGAATAATGGCCCGTCTTTTATAATTCTTAGAGAGTGCACTGTAGCAAAAGTGTACACAAGTACATTTAGAGCAGTGCTCCCAATAGCGTAATGGTTAGCGCGTTGGGGATAAAAGGGGAAAAAGCGGATGGGATTTTCACGCTTCGACCCGGATTGTGTGCAAAATTTTTAATCACTTCTCAGCTCGAATTTACGATTTTTTTTTCCAGAATCGGACGGAAGACCTCTCGTTGCTCGCAACGAGATCGTTTCTAGTTAAGGTCTTCCGTCTTCACGGAAGACCTTATAGTTATTCTACTGTTTCTTATTATTATTATTATTATTATTCTTATTATTTTTTTGACTTTCTAATTTTGTGCATGCGATTTCTCGAAGACTACTGGATAAAATTACATGTAATTTCCAGAAAAGATGTGTCGTAACATGAACTTGATCTATCTGAGCGACTTTTTGGAAATTCCTTTTTGGTGCCAAGTTACGGGACATTTCCTGATTTAAAAATGACATTTTGTCTATGGTTAATCTCAAGAACGGTGAAAGATATCGATTTGAAACTTTCAGGGATTATAGATCGTGATAGATACTAACCAGGACGCGACCTTTCGTTCGTCGTCAATACTTCCTGTCGTTAGGATATGCGAATTGAAAAAAGCGTATTTTCTAACTTTTTTGATTTTCAATATATTGTATTTATTTTTGGAATGTTAATAGAGACCCTTTTGCTGATGTTTACTATATAAGTTGTTTGAATATTGGGTAATCTGAACTCTAGATATTAATATTTGAAAATCTGAAGCGGACCCAAGATGGCGGCTGTCTCTGTCAACTCCGCCATTTCGCGAGTAGGGGTCTATGGGGGCAGCTGAGCGTTTGATTAAACCATTCTGACATAAGAATATATGAAATATGAAATACTTCTTGGACTTTCACGTAGTAGTACGTTGCAATTCAGTGTCCGTTTCACTGCTTTAGTGTAACTGGGCTGGGTACGATAGGTAATGTGTACAGTGTGTTAAATAAACTTTCTTAACGTTGAAATAAAATAAAGGCGATAAGAACGGTTTATTTATTTACTTTCATTGAAACTACAGTCTTCACGAAAACTTTACTGAGACACTAGCCAGTGGGGCTAGTGGATTTGACAGTATTACTAGCCCAAAGAAATTATTAAAAGCCAACGAAAAAAAAAAGAAAAAAAAGAAATGAAATTGCAGAATTTACTGTTGTATCATTCTATTCCATTTAAATTTCATACTGAATTCCTTTCCTTTTGTATTTCTTCTCCTTAATTATTTTGTTTTTCCCCTCATTTGAATCATAAATAAATCAGTTATCATTAATAAAGATTAAATTAATTTGAACAAACAAGTTTTTTTTTTTTTAGCTTTTTGATATTGTACATGTATTGTACATTAGCCCCTTTTCTGGTCATTAGACTTCTCTGCCAAAGAAGTGACTTTTTTTCATATTAAATTTTCAGATACATTGTTATAAATATAAATTTGGATAACAGTTAACATAGTAAACTCATGTAATCCTTTACTCTTCAATTAAATGAGTAATTAACTAAATGGGATTTCTGCATGTATTTACCTTAAACGATCTAACAGAGGAAATTTGGATTAGAGAAAAAAAGACGATCGTTTTTTCGGAAAAATAAACTATTAAGTAGTGCTACGTGAATTAGATGAGGGAGTTTTCTGAAGAATAGGACTACATTGCTTTGGTTTTATTTATTGGTTAAGAGTATTGCTCGCAACGAGATCGTATCTAGTTATTCTACTGTTTCTTATTATTCTTTTTATTATTTTTTTCCCAAAATTTTTTGCACGCGATTTCTCAAAGACTACTGGATGGAATTACATGAAATTTTCAGAAAAGATGTGTCGTAACATGAATTTTGATATATCTGAGATTTTTTGAAAATTTTTATCTGTTGCCAAGTTACGGGACATTTCCTGATTTTAAAATGACATTTTGTCCGTGGTTAATCTCAAGAACGGTAAAAGATATCAAGATGAAACTTTCAGGGATTATAGATCGTGATAGATACTATCCAGGACGCGACCTTTCGTTCGTCGTCACTACTTCCTGTCGTTAGGAGATGCAAATCAAAAAAAGTGTATTTTCTAAGTTTTTTGTTTTTCAATATTTTTTATTTATTTTTGGAATGTTAATAGAGACCCTTTGATTGATGCTTATTATATAAGTTGTTTGAATATTGGATAATCTGAACTCTAGATATTAATATTTGAAAATCTGAAGCGGGCCCAAGATGGCGACTGTCTCTGTCACCTCCGCCATTTCGCGAGTAGGGGTGTATGGAGGCAGCTGAGCGTTTGATTATACCATTCTGACATAAGGATACATGAAAAGTAAAAAACTACTTGGACTTTCACGTAGTAGTATGTTGCAATTCAGTGTCAAACTTATAACTCAGTTTCCGTTTCACTGCTTTAGTGTAACAGGGCTAGATACGATATGTAATGTGTATAATGTGTTACATATACTTTCTTAACGACGAAATAAAATAAAGGTGATAAGAATGTTTTATTAATTAATTTCATTGAAGCTATTGCACCTCTTTAATAGATCAGTCCAAAGAAAAGGCGCGAATATTTACTCGTGGCGTTTGGCGCGAAATTATGAATAGTGGCCCGCCTTTTATGATTCTTAGACAGGTGTACTGTTGCAAAAGTACACACAAGTATATTTAGAGCAGTACTCCTAAAAGCTTAATGGTTCGCGCGATGTGGATAAAAGAGAAAAAAGGCGCATTCACGTTGGCGACCTGTATTCACTCCTCCTTGTGATCAAAATTTTTAATCACTTTTTAGTTCGATTTTACAAGTTTTTTTCCTGAATCGGACGGAAGACCTCTCGTTGCTCGCAACGAGATTGTATCTAGTTTATTTTTATTTTTTTATCCTGGTCTTTACACCAATTGTCACTCTACACGATCCGTTGTGGGATCCCTATCCAGATGTTTTTTCATAATATTATATTAATATATATTAATATTAATATATTAGTTTGTGTGGTTACTGAATATCATACAGTTTTAAAGAAGATTTTTATGAGTTCAAAAAATGTATCAATTTTAATTTTCAACAACCCCGCGACTCAAAATACAAGTCATAAGTTAATTTAACGTAAACTGTCCGAGGGAATCTTTGTAAAGTACGCCAAAGGTCAAGGTCAAGTGAATTGTAATGCTGGCATTTTTCATGTTTTATGACAATCAGTGCACATGCTAGATAGCATAGATTTACCCCTTAAATGTCAAAAATATGCAGTATATTGGCACTTTTTGGTTTTTAGTAAAGGATGTCAAAGGATAATGTCAAGGGTCACGAGGTCGGTACCTATGTCAATTAACAAATACCATTGTGCCAAGCAATAATGTGCAAAACGCCAAGTCTGTTTCTCTTGCAGTTCTTGAGATACAAGGTGTGACAGTCAGACAGCTAGACAGACGCCGGGTTAAGTGATCCCTTACTGCCGCTCTGCACCGCATGCGACACAAAAAATGGGCATTCTCATCGTTTGGAGATTCAAAAATTCTGATGACCCTGCCCTTGAAAACAGCTGCATACTTCGTAAATACATACTTTTATTTAATGTAAATACGTAAAGTTGTAGATTAGACTATTCCTGCAATTAAAAGAGAAATGCTTGTTTTGTAAGTTTATTTTGTTGCAATTTTGGCATGTCATTAGGTGCAGCCATCCTTTTAATTTGATTTCTTCAAGGCAGTTCCAAAACTTATTCCAGTGTAATTTTTTTTAAAATAGAAATGTACTCACCAAAACTTTTCTGCATTTTATTGTACCGCTCATCAATCTCTTCAGCTTTTTCTGGTAGAAAAAAGTTTTTGAATAAGCATTAACAGCAGAAACAAATTTAAACAGTATTAAGCTTTATTTCATAGGTTAAGATAATTCCACCCTCCTATGATGTCATAGGTTTTTGCAAAAACTGTAATTAGTTTAAATTCATACCTAATAGAACAATATCTCTTGGAAGAATGCTTTACAAAAGTTTTAATGATAAATATTGTTAAGTTAAAGAATTTTAAAAATGCATATTTTTTATATTTAATCAATTATTCAATCTTTAAAAAAATGTTGACAAGGGCAATAACTCCTTCTAAGGTCTCTTCATTCAGACATTTGCTTTATTGTAAAATAGTTTCCCTGATATTCATAATTCAAAAGTATCTTTTTAAGTAAAAAGTATTTAGGAACACTCAGCATCAAAATTATGCATTTTAACTAATTTTTACATATTTTTCAAAATACTATTTACAAAAAATTTGGGATTTTTTTTATGTTGACATACACTTCTGTTTATTTATGTTTTGCATCTTAAATAATATGGTGACCTATACTTTTTTTCGCAATAATTGGAAAGTTTAAAGTATATTAAATGAAAATAAATGCAGTTTTTGTACTTTGAACCCATAAAATTTTGAGGGTGGAATCACCTTAAATGTCAAACCCAGCCATTATATTTACGTTTCAGGCCTAGAACAATTTTTCTAGTTTCTGCATCTTCTTCAGCCTGTTTCCTCAGTTCTTCTATGTAATTGGAATCACGGGCAGGGTCCATTGTCTCATATCTCAAAAAGTCCACCTCTTTTTCATACTTGTTCCCATTGCTAAGGAAAGAATCAAAGTCTGCAACTGCTGATCTAACATTGGTCCAGATCGTGTTAAAATCAGCATTGGAGAGGACGGGACTAGAAGAATGTACACACTGATTTCTTGCAATACGGATTCTCTCAATGTTGGCAGAGAGAGATCGATCTGTAGGGTCTGGATCATTTCCCCAGCCATTACTGTGTGGTGATAAACCACAAATGTTTCTGAGTAGTATGTACAATAAGGAAATGTCCATATCATCATAGTTTCCTGTATAACTACTACCTCTGGGTAAAATAAGATTCATCTGTTGAGCTGTCAGACGGGGAAGATTAATCCTTTTGTTTATAATGACGTGTGGGAATGTTGACGGTGGTACATGGTGAAGTAAAACATCACGTAACTCATCTGTACACGGACCCAGGAGAAGTCGACAGGCTCTACAGGCATTTGTCGTCTCCTCTGTAGACGCGTAAGAGGAAGAGGCCATAGTAATCTTCTAATGCTTTTCTGAAATGTAACAAACAATCCAAAAATTTAATAAAAAAAAACAAAGAAATTAGAACTATCTTAGTAAAACTATACATTGCTTATCCACTAGGGCAACTAGAATAAATGCTTAAATTAAAATACTCTTCACTGATTTCAGCTTGTTAGCTAGAGAACCATACAGCAAATTTACTGACTTGTCATAAAGTTATGCATGTTCATGTTTTTTTTTATGTTTTGTGTTAAATAGAAAAGATAAGACTACATAAATTCAAGAATTAAAATAGTGTGTTCAAAGGAACATTAAACTTTGTAGTTGTGTTACTTTGAGTAAAAAGTGACAAACCTGCATGTCATATGTGACGTCCAAATGCTGCTCCAATAATATAAGCATTTTTTTCAAAAATGTATTTTTTAAAATTTATAAATTTTCGGGTGTTTTTTACTCGGTGATTTGATCTAATGACCTTAAGTAAGGGTCCTATTATATCCTAGGAACATAAAGAATCACTACAGGTTGTTGTACAAGAATGATCTTCTAAAGTTACTGCATCATTAAATTATGTAAACATGGACATCTTATGAACGAATGTAACCAAAAACGGGGATCAGTCCTTGTAGTTTATTATATTCATGGTTGCATTATTGAATTCTTCAATTTTATTGGGATTTCAATAGATAAAATCCCCACAAGATACCTCAAAGCCACGTCTTGTCGTAGTGACCATGACGCTTACAATACATTTCAATCAATGGAAATTTAATTAAGCAAAGGAGTTTGAGAAGGGAAATGAAAGGAAAATTTTAAAAATGTCATTCTGTGGCATGAAATTAACCAGAAGTCTCTGTCGAGACTGTAGTTCTACTGGTTTATACTTAAAACAAAGGAAGAGAAAAGTAGCAGTTGGGACTTGAGATTTTAAATCAGCAATAAATAGAATCAAAGGCCTGAAGGGCCTGCGAGTTGACTCGCTCGAGTCAATTGAGCTTTTTCATACATATGGGCACCATACCTTAATATATTCGGTTTATTTTGCATCTTAAGAGATTGAATATTATATGTCTGATCCATGTTCGGTTCATAAATAAAGTGTATATTGCTTTTCCTTTATATATACAGGTTGGCACTAATGGGCTTCCGTATTATTTTGACTGGATTCTATAATGAATTTCAGCACATTAGCTGAAGTGGTCAGTGTTATGGGATAATTAGGTTAAAGATTCCCACAGCAAATCTGGATTCTAAAAATAGATTTTCAACAACAACTAGCTAATGAGAGCATCAGGTGTTTGTGTTAGGGAGTATTCTAGGTCAATTATAAAAAAACTTCAGATGGGAAGAGTAGATCCGCCTAACATGCTTGAACATATATTCATACGCAGTAATTTTACATCATACAGGTATTTAATCAAAAATTTCTTTAAAAGCATATGAGGCAAAATAATATTACAGTGTATGAAATTTTATACAGTTTTTACCTCTTAAGTTTATACAATCATTCAAACCAAAGCAATTTTTCCTAGAACTATTATATTTGGCGTATGGATCACCTTGATGTATGCGTGAAAAATTTTACAGCTCTGAAACGGCCATGTCGACAGGGAGTAGCTCGCTACGCGAGCTAACTCAAAAATGATCCTTGCCACTCATCAAAATAAAAAACGATGCACAGAATTATGTATCTTAGTATAGTCTACATGTGTGTCAAGTTATATTGAAATCGAACTAAAACTGTAGGAGGAGTAGCATTTTGAAACAATTTCACAAAAAATTCTATTCTTAGTAACCCATGGCAACATCATTCATTGAAATCAACAACTGATGCACAGAATTATGTATCTTAATGTAGTCTACTTGTGTGCCAAGTTATATTGAAATCGGACCAAAACTGTAGGAGGAGTAGCATTTTGAAAGAATTTCACAGAAATTTCTATTTTTAGTAACCATGGCAACACCGTTCATCGAAATCAAAAACCGATATAAAGAATTATGAACCTTAGTGTAGTCTACTTGTGTGCCAAGTTATATCAAAATCAGACCAAAACTGTAGGAGGAGTAGTATTTTGAAAGAATTTCACAGAAATTTCTATTTTTAGTAACCATGGCAACACCGTTCATCGAAACCAAAAACCAATGCACAGAATTATGTATCTTAGTGTAGTCTACTTGTGTGCCAAGTTATATTGAAATCGGACTGTAGGAGGAGTAGCATTTTGAAACAATTTTACAGAAATTTCTATTTTTAGTAACCATGGCAACACCGTTCATCGAAATCAAAAACCAATGCACAGAATTAGGTATCTTAGTGTAGTCTACTTGTGTGTGTCAAGTTATATTGAAATCGGACCAAAACTGTAGGAGGAGTAGCATTTTGAAAAATTGTTTACACAGACAGACAGACAGATGGACAGACAGACAGACGGACGGACGACGGACGCATTACTATCGCATAAGCTCTTCTGGTCTCTGACCAGTAGAGCTAAAAATAATAATTTGTTCGGATCAAGTAGGGGTCAAAAGGGGGTTACTTTACGAAGGGCGGTCAGGACAATAAGGAGTTATGCTCTAAAACTAAATTGCAATACCTAAAAACTTTAAAGAAATTCTTTTTCAAAATACTATATGCTTAATATTGTAATAAAATTAATATGGCTTCAATTTACAGCTATTATACCCATTATATAAAAATCCAAGGAGGATGCCCATTCGTAATTTGTCGGTTGATAAAGCTTCTTCTTAGAAACATGTATCTTAAAAATCTTCATATAATTCTCACGGGTGCCAGTGGACAGAACCCGCCCCCTTTAACATCCCAGACCCAAAGCTAATTTTTAATTTCACAGAGAAAAGCTCAAAAGCTTCTCGACATATTGCTTGAAACAAAAGTGTAGCAGACGAACAGAATTATAAGACAAATGGGTAGACTAAAATTAATATCCCCAATTTTCAAGAGGGGTGGGGTGAGAGGGGTTGGAGCAAAAATGGAAGTTAAGTGAAATGTGTTTTTGACATAATTTAAGATATATAATATTTGTGTACTTATAAAATCACAGCCTGGATTTAAAGAAAGCAGCAGCACTTTTCAAGTTAAGAAAAATATCCTTTATCTACATTCAAAAAATGGTTAAGATCTATGAAGTGTATGCCCTTGCGAAAGTGCGATTTTATAAGGCACCTCGATGTAAAATATACGTAACCTGTACATAAAAACACGACATAATTAATAAAACACATTCTCTTAATAATTAATTAATAATCGCACTTAACAAAGGATGTGCATTGGTATTAATCGACTATTTAAAACCTGTAAATATTATTCCGTTTAATAATAATCTGCCTCTCACAGCACATGGAATACGTCATTTTTACCAAAATTACGTCACGTTTACAAGTTCATCGCGATGAGTGCTTTGTCTACAACCAGATACATGGGATTTAACTAGCAAGATTTCTAAATGCATTGATAAGTTTTATTGCTGTTTATTATGCGAATACAGTTAAAAGTTGCAAACTATTTCAATTTCAGGTACAATGAGAAATACATAAAAGTCATATTTTTGTTTGACGTCACAGTAAACTTTTCCCGTATAAATTAGGCCCCGCCCCCTTATTCAAGCCTTAACAATGCTGCGGGGTCATGATTTTAACAATTTAGAATCTACACTACCTCGGGATGCTTCCATATAAGTTTTAGCTTTTCTGGCCCAGTGGTTCTTGAGAAGAAGATTTTCAAAGATTTTTCCTATATATTTCTAAGTAAAACTTTGATTCCCAATTGTGGCCCCGCCCAATCTCCTGGGGGTTATGATTTGAACAATTTAGAATCAACACTACCCCAGGATGCTTCCATGTAAGTTTCAGCTTTACTGGCACAGTGGTTCTTGAGGAGATTTTCAAAGATTTTTCCCATATATTTCTATGTAAAACTTTGATTCCCCATTGTGACCCTGCCCTACCCCAGGGGGTCATGATTTCAACAATTTAGAATCTACACTACCTCAGGATGCTTCCACATAAGTTTCAGCTTTTCTGGCCCAGTGGTTCTTGAGTAGAAAATTTACAAAGATTTTTCCTATATATATCTATGTAAAACTTTGATTCCCCATTGTGGCCCTATCCTACCCCTGAGGGTCATGATTTTAACAATTTAGAATTGCTCGACCTCAGGATGCTTCCACGTAAGTTTCAGCTTTTCTGGCTAAGTGGTTCTTGAGGAGAAGATTTTATTATATGATTGAATGATTTCCATCTCTCTGATTGTCTGAGATCCAACTATGTTAGAAAAATATTACGTTGTATTGACCTGCACGTGACGTTCCAGGTCAATACAAGAATTTGTTTCCTCTACATTGATCTTAAAAATAGATTGGGAAATTCAAATTGATACAAATTGTTTTAGAAAGCTATTTTAATGTTATGTACCAAAAAATCGTATACAGGTAAGACAGTTTAGTTTTTCTTTGCTTAATTTAATTTCTTTTCTTGTCATATCAAAAAGTAACATATCATGATCATGCATATCAATTTTCATGATGATATCACATCTAATAATAAAGTTATGTTGAATAAAGAAAGCATGTATGTGTACATCGGCGCTCTAAAGCAAGCGTAAATTACGTCTCTTATTACCTCATGATCTCTTTGTTTACTTCGCTCGCATCTATTTAATATTTGTTTTAAAGTGATAGACCACTCTTGGCTAATGGATTTTTTAAGCTCACTACTGTCTATTTGTTTTTTATTTGTTTTTTTAGCCAGATTCAAATTTCAGTCGAAATTTAGTCGAAAGATCGCCTTACATTGAAGGTAGCAGAGAATACACATTGTTTGACATCGTTCATGGTCCAGAAATGTTCCCAATTGTCGACATTTAACTAACACTACTCTGCTTCTTACATGCTGTATCTATTTTCCGTATGGGGGAAAAACTCTCATCGAATATCATGCCATTTAAAAATAATTTCGCTATTAAAATTTGGCGTGTAATGCCACTGATCTACTCTTTTTTTCAGTCTCTGCTGTTTATAAATCATATACAACACAAATCATTATATCTCCGTGCGCTGCTTACGCGTTTGACGACGTCATTTTCATCAAACTCAATTCCAACAATACTCTAAAAATCATAACACCAATCATCTGTTTCTAATGCTTTTTCTGTGAGATTTTGATTCTGGTTTCAGAGATTTAAATTTGAGGTCAAAGTATTACATAGAACTAAAGAAATAAAAGCAAATGTAATACAGCTTACTCCACTTATATTGAACTCGCTTATTTTGAAATTCCGCTTATTTTGAATTAGAAATAAATCCCCAGATTTTGCCTCTCATATTCTTTGCATTAAAATAACGGTTATATTGAAATCGGTTGTATTGAAGCCACTGATCGGTCCCCACAGGTGATAATGAGTTGTTTTAATAACGGTTATATTGAAGTACACCCTGGCGGCTGTTGTTACGGTTGGTGACAGTAATTATGCCTGATTGAGCAGTTGATATACAAAGGTGTGAATAATTTAGTTTTCAACATTTGTGTTTTAATACTGCATGTTGTTCCGAAATAAAATTCTTCACTGTTCAATTTTTTGTGTCCATGTATATAATACGGACATATTGAGGCTAAACAGCTAAACGTAATATACTAATCCCCACAGATCTAGGTAAAAAACATAACTTTGAAATTAAATACGTACTGTTAATAAATTCATATGCCTAAATTCAAAATAATTAAGGGATTAACCCGAGTACACTTACGATGAAATACAAGCAGCATTCAGCAGTACTTACATATAACTGCTCAAGTCCGTGAATTTTCTCCAAAACGTAAATAAATGCGATCGGGGAATAATAATGAAGGGTGAATCGAAGATTGTCTTTTCAATGAAACAGATTTAAAAAATATTTAAAACTTCTAGGACTCATATTCTTTGTAATCTGTTAACTGTTATAGATAAACGATGACAAAATTAATTTGTTTGGGTTTGTTCTTCTTTATTTTAGATTGGGATTGAACTTGTAAGAATGGCGGCTTCACGATTTCGCTTATATTGAATTATGGATATATTGAAATAATTTGCATGGTCCCCTGAATTTCAATATATCCAGAGTAGGTTGTAGTTATATGCAAAAATTATTCTGTATTTTGTTCTTGCGCCGACAGGTTTTATCAGCCTTAATATAAATCGTCTTGATATTATTAATACGAAAGATATATTTCTAAAATTTCCCAATTTCAAAGAACATTGAATATATTATGTCTATGCAAAATTTGGTTAGTATCAGTTGCATGTTTAAAAAATTATAAACATTGCCTACGACTTTTTGGGACAACCCTCGTACGATTAATGAACATGTCCTTCCCAGTTGTGACTGCATGGTTTTAAGAAGATTTTCACCACAAATAAAAAAAAAATATTCACAAATTATGTGTTTTATTTTCGTAAATATTTTTTTATTTAATTTTTTTTAATATCTATACGGCTTTTCTTCACATATTTTATTAGATATTAATGTGATGCATTCATTTACAGCAACATTTTTATACGAAAGCTTCTTATTCACAGGCACCTGAAGTATGGATAATAACCCCCCCCCTTTTTATTTAATAAAAAAAATGTAAGAGTGTTTTATTCCTCAAAAATATAAAATTTCCCCGTCAACACATCTTTATGTCGTTATATGCAAGCAAATTGTACTTTTTCTCACGTTTAAAGAATTGCCCTATTCGGTATAATAAAATACACAAGGCAAAAAAACAAAAGTTGTAAACAAACGGGGGGACCCCTGCTTCGAGAGAGATTACCAAGGTAATAATTAGTGTTACCTATCATAATTTTGCAAGCACTCTGTCTCGGAGATGTTCTTTACTAGTCTCTTTAACCTAAACCCCGGTATTAGCGTGTGATATGCCGTAATCGGACGATTTATTAATCGGATACATAAAATTTTCTCCATTGGCAGCGTTGGAGGAGGTTTTGGAGCTGCTATTCTGTTTCGCCTTATCTGATTGGTTAATTATAATACACTTTAAATATCTTCGGCCTTCACAGGATTTGATCACGTGACCAACCCACTTCAATTCCCATTGAAGTTTATAAACTTGTTATTTATTTCTTAAGTAAAATGGCACATAAAAAGGGACCATTCAGCATTGCTTAAGTGCTTGAACTTTAGATACTCCAGACCTGAATCACCATTGGTTTGCGAAAACGAAAGTAGACTTTAAAAAAATATATAATTACGATTCACATTGTCATTGGACCTTATATTATACTTAATATCATTTTGAACCCTCTTGCTAGCAGTTCATTTGCAACAATTTTTAAAACATGTAAGTATTAGAAGTGTTTGTTCCTTCAAGTGCCTGTGCATGAAAACGAAAGTTCGCCACTATGAGCTTTGTTTTAATTTAGATGTTTTTCTGATGCTTAAAGGCTTACCTGGTATTTTTTAATACTCTAAGGCTTTTTCAAATGATGAAAATGCAGATATTTGTGGACTATATTCCGAGATTGAATCCCAAAACACATCAACCAGAGTTTCAGTTTACTTCTCCGGGCTTTCCATTTTTTCAAAGCAAGATCTAAGCGGTTGCCAGTGATTTCGACGTTCGAATAATTCACCCTTTCTTCAAATTACCATCAGCGCCCTTATTAGCAGACCTACTTTTGTATTCATGTGTGGCAGATTTTGTGCAAAATTTTGTGACTGAAAAAAGAAAGCATTTGATGTTGCTATCGTGTTTCACTCCGCTACATAGCCGAGATCGAGGGAAAACGATAATGTAAACACTGTTTATTATAATGCAATCAGGTAGCCTAATACAACAGGTAATGGCACACACAGTGACAAACATGCAAATCTGGCGTCTGGCTCTCACACACCGGAAAACTTGCTTACTCTGTTGGGTACCGATGGGATTCGACCCATAGGCAAAAATGCCCAGTATCGAAAACCACCACACTCCTCCCCATTTTGATAATATTACGATAAACATTAAAACCAATTATAATTCCAAAACTAAGCAACATAAACAAACATAAACAAACATTCATACTAACATTGATATATAATACAAATATCACCACATAATAATGTAAAGATATTATGAAATAAAACACAATCAACAGTCAATCTGCCTAGCGCTAAACAGTTCATTATATCAAATAGTCCAGCTGCGATCTCTTCGCCATCCAGCGCGTCGGTTTGGCATCTACGGAATTGACTTCTTCTCCATCACTGCCTCCTTAATTGATCACGCCAAATATGATACTGCATGGGAGTGACCCCTGTAAAAACCTCATCACACCTATCAACTGCGCACCTACGCACTCCTCTCAGCCTCTTCTCAATGTCCTCTGGCCTGGCATCAGCTGCATCTCTGGTAGGAGCTGTAACTTGAGAGGGATCTTCCTCCTCAGAATCACTTAGCAAAATGGAAACCATTTCTGTCTAGTCTGTGTTCTTCGCACCCTGCAGACTCTGTTTAGACACGCCCTCTGGCTTGTCTGGATCGTCCAGCTCTGACAGTGACTCTTCCTCATCGAAAACAAACACATCAAATGTCTCCTCCATAGTTAGATTTAAAAATGAAAATATAAACAAAATATAAACAAATACATTCTCTAGAGTTATCTCGGCTACCTAAAAAACCTTTAAGATCATAAGGGTCACAAACCCCTAACTATTTATAATTCATTTTTTTTCTTTGTCGCGGGTTCGAATCCCTATGCGGGACGTGGAGACCGGTCCTTCGGATGAGACCGTATAAACCGAGGCCCTGTGTCGCAGTAGGTGCTGGCACGAAAAAGATCCCTCAATGCTCAAAGGCCCTGAGTGCCGAGCATAGGACAAGATTTGTAGCCCTCCACCGGCAAGTGGTGGCTTCTCCATATGAGTGAAAAATTCTCGAGAGGGACGTTAAACAACATACAATCAATCAATCAATCTCTTTATGGAAGAGCACTTAGGGCAAATATACTGAGGCATACTCTGCACATCATCCTCTGAAATTCCGACGCATTCGGGATGGAACCAATCTTTACAAAATTCACATTGAACCATCAACCCTTTAGGATTCTGCTTTTTGCACAGACGATACCACTTTTTACTACGGTTTTGCTTTCTGTTTTTTAAATGTTCAGACACAACTGACTCGCCAGTTCCCATTCAAGATCTACTACGTGCCCTAGTACCCTTATACGGACCACTGTGAGGTCTTTCCTCGGTTTCCATTGCTGCACTGTCCTTGACAGATTGGTGGTTGCCTAGCAAGTCTAACTCACCTTCATTTTCTAGCTGGTCATCACTGTTTACCTCACCTTGCAACTGTTCTCTGAACTCCACTGACCATTAAGGTAATTTCCGTGCTTCACACTTTTTCAATTTGTCATGATGCATGATTTTTATCTCACGACGTGACTTTACAGCATATACGGTATCAGACTTTAGTTGAACTATAACTTCTGGACCCATCCACATTGACTCGACCTTTTTACCCGCATTGCGGCGCCAATAAACAAGGTTACCAACCTTGAACTTACCTGCCCTCACCCTTAGGTCATGTGCCCTTTTCATTGACTTCTGAGCAGATTTCAACTTTTTTCTTGCAATTCTGATAAACATGATGACTTTAACTTTTCTATCGTCATCCCCCTTATTTATGCAGCAATATTGTATGCGGAGTTTATATATCTCGATCAGTTGGTTCGATACGGAAGAGCATGTTCTACATATGAACAATTTATAAAACGAGGTAAGATATTGACAAACAAATTAATGAAGCAAGAATATCAGCAGTCTCGTTTAAAATCATTTCATAAGTTCTATGGTCGATTCAATGACCTTGTTAATAATAACAATCTATCAATAATTCAAATACTGACTGGTTTTTTTTTTATCAAACACTGATTTTTTCACCGGATTTTTTTCCCCGAACATAACAGGTAGTGCACGGCGGATGTGGCCGGTCAGCAGGAGATGTTCACTCCTCCATGGCACCTGATCCCCCTTTGATGTTTTAAAGGTCTGTGTTTGCTTTGCTCCTATTTTGTTATGTTTAATGGACTTTTGACCTCGAATACTGTTTGTTATCTCCACATATTTCATCCATTCTGACAAACTGTCAAGGTCTTTTTATGTTGGTCCGTTGTCTAGCGTTATTTTTAATAAAATTCATAATATTACTACATATTAAAATAAAGATATGACTCCATTTGAAAGATCAGGATCCCCTTATTTTTGCCCTTTTAGAATAAGTGATTTAATGTTCTAATTAATAAATGTTTTACATCAGCAGAAATAACGTGTTCAGAAAGATTATAGTTGTAGGATGAAGAAGAACATGAATAGTTGGAAAATTAAATTTCATATTTTCGATATAGAGGCACTGTTACTTTGTAATTAACATTTTTGGATGCGATATTCGATGCTTACTTGTAAGTTGTAGTCTTCAGCCGAAGAAGAAGACTCTGGTTTATCATAACGAACGGAGAGAAGTAGCATTTGAACTTTAATCTTTGCAAAAGCAAGAAATCAAACTTTAAAACATTATCATTGGTTTAGTTTTTGTCTTGGCAAAGATTTATTGCAATCAAATGACAAGAGGCCCAGGGGCCACAGCGCTCACCTGAGCACATCGGGCTTGAATTTGCTCCCCCCCCCCCCTCCAGGCATTCATCATTTGAACAAACTTGAATCTACACTACCTGAGGATGATTCCATATAAATATCACTAATCATAGCTTTGAAGTACTTGAAAAGAATATTTTAAAAGATTTCCCTATATATCCCTACGTAAACCTTGGGTCGGCCATTTTGGCCCCACCCTAGCCCCGGGGGTCATGATCGGAACAAACTTGAATCTACACTACCTGAGGATGATTCCACATGAGTTTCATCTTTCCTGGCCCAGTGGTTCTTGAGAAGGATTTTTTCAGATATTTCCTATATATTCCTACGTAAAACTTGGGTCGGCCATTTTTGGCCCCACCCTTGCCCCGGGGGTCATGATTTGAACAAACTTGAATCTACACTACCTGAGGATGATTCCACATGAGTTTCATCTTTCCTGGCCCAGTGGTTCTGGAGAAGAAGATTTTTAAAGATTTTTCCTATATATTCCTATGTTAAACTTGGGTCGGTCATTTTGGCCCCACCCTTGCCCCGAGGGTCATGATTTGAATAAATGTGAATCTACACTACCTGAGGATGATTCCACATGAGTTTCATCTTTCCTGGCCCAGTGGTTCTGGAGAAGAAGATTTTTAAAGATTTTTCCTATATATTCCTATGTAAAACTTGGGTTGGCCATTTTGGCCCCACCCTAGCCCCAGGGGTTATGACTTGAACAAACATGAATCTACAATACCTGAGGATGATTCCACATGAGTTTCATCTTTCCTTGCCCAGTGATTCTTGAGGAGAAGATTTTTAAAGATTTTTCCTATATATTTCTATGTAAAACTTGGGTCGGCCATTTTGGGCCCACCCTAACCCCGGGGGTCATGATTTGAACAAACTTGAATCTACACTACCTGAGGATGATTCCACATGAGTTTCATCTTTCCTGGCCCAGTGGTTCTGGAGAAGAAGATTTTTTAAAGAATTTTCTTATATATTCCTAATATGTAAAACTAGGGTCGGCCATTTTGGCCCCACCCTTGCCCCGGGGGTCATGATTTGAACAAACTTGAATCTACACTACCTGAGGATGATTTCACATGAATTTCATCTTTCCTGGCCCAGTGGTTCTGGAGAAGAAGATTTTTAAAGATTTTTCCTATATATTCCTATGTAAAACTTGGGTCGGCCATTTTGGCCCCACCCTTGACCCGGGGGTCATGATTTGAACAAACTTGAATCTACACTACCTAAGGATGCTTCCACATGAGTTTCATCTTTCCTGGCCCAGCGGTTCTGGAGAAGAAGATTTTTTAAAAATGCCATTAATTTTTAACAAATTCATGATTATCTCCCCTTGGAAAAGGGCGTGGCCCTTCATTTGAACAAACTTGAATCCCCTTCGTCCAAGGATACTTTGTGCCAAGTTTGGTTGAAATTGGCCCAGTGGTTCTTGAGAAGAAGATGAAAATATGAAAAGTTTACGACAACAACGACAACGACAACAACGACGACAGACAACGGACAAATTTTGATCAGAAAAGCTCACTTGAGCCTTCGGCTCAGGTGAGCTAAAAACTGTAGGACGAGTAGCACGAAAGAAAATTAATATCATTTTTAGTAACCATGGCAACAAGGTCCAGCAAAATAAAAAAAACAATAAATAGAATTTTGTAATTTAGTCTAGTCTACTTGTCTGTGCCGATTATTTTAAAATCAGACTAAAACTTTGGGAGAAGTAGCATTTTGAAAATATTTCTATTATATTGTTCACAGAAGGACAGACAACTAACTAGACAGACGGGCGATGGGCACCTTACTATTGCATAAGCTATTCGACTTTAAGAGCAACAAAAAAAATAAAGAAGCTGAACATTACAGTAAGTTTATTATCAACTTAAGATGAGAAGAGAATTGAAGGGACAAATAAATTGAATATTACTTGAAACTAAACATTAATCAATT